GTCCTCTTCTCTATCTCAAATGTTATCACATCTACCAACTTTACAACTAAATATTCAGATATACACAAGAAAAATTATACATGTTCCCAGGGTCCATTTTACTAAAAAAAAAAAATCACAGTTGTTAAGTTTTGCTACTATACTTCTGGTTCTTTGATGCTGGAGAACAAAAAGTCTGCGATCACCATAAACATTTCTAAGTTTAAAATGAGCTCTAACCTCCGTATACACACTCAACATAGCATTTCTTTTTAATCTCCTGTTTCCTATCCTAAACCCTATCTCTTTCAATGATGCAATCTGAGTAACCCCATTCAGAGCAGGCTCTTGCCAATATCAAGTACAACACTTCACAGACTCCTGTTTTTCTCATATTCATCCAACTTCTAATCCTCACTCAACCAGAAAAAGATAGAAAGATTTAAGGCCATGAAGAAAGACTCTATTAATTTTACAGCCATTCAATTAAACTATGACTTCTGCAACTTCTAAGTTCTCATCTGGCCATCTGGGAACCTATGCCAAAACATACAAGAACAGAGTTTGTTTGCATTTTGCAAAGAGCTGGGAATCAAATACATGTTTACTGTAAGCTAAATTCCATCAGTGTCCTAATCAAGCATGTATAATTCTATAAAATATTCCAGCCCTGATTTGAAAGTAGAAAGGAGGAAATATTTCCTTCCTTCCCTCCCCCTCCCCCTGTATGGTTAAATTCTGCTCAATTTAGATCCCTAACAGCTAAGATTTTTGAGATGCACCTGAGCTTATTGGTTAGGAGCGTAGATTTTGAAGCCAGACCTCCTGGATCAGAATCCTGGCCACACTGCTTGCTAACTGTGTGACCTTGTACAAATGACTTAGTATCTCTGTGCCTAGGTTTTCTCATCTGCAAAATGGGGATATTACAGAATACCTACCTCATAGGAAGCTAAGAAGATTAAAGAAATCAACATTGTGTAAAACTTTTAAAGGCAACCCAGATAAGTATTTGATAAAGGGACAAAAAAAAAAAAAAAAAACTAAGTGGCATCACAGGTCACACGCCATCTCCTGCTTTTAAGGAAATCAAAAGCTAGCTAGGAACATGAAACAAAGATAAATAATAGTGCAAAGAAACATAGAACAATTATGAAATAAGTACTGGTTTTTGGTGGTGGCTATATGTGAATGTAACTGGAATATTTGCCTAAGAACAGGAATAGTTATGGGGTGCCTGGGTGGCTCAGTGGGTTAAAGCCTCTGCCCAGGGTCCTGGGATCGAGCCCCACATCGGGCTCTCTGCTCGGCAGGGAGCCTGCCTCCCTCTCTCTCTCTGCCTGCCTCTCTGCCTCCTTGTGATCTCTGTCAAGTAAATAAATAAAATCTTAAAAAAAAAAAAAAAAAGGAACAGGAATAGTTATGAAGTCCTTTGAACTGATAAACTGATCCAACACTTATAAGTCATAAAGACCATGGTCATTTTACTCATGGTAGCGTTTAGGTTTAAAACTATCCTAAAGGGGGGCACCTGGGTGGCTCAGTGGTTTAGGCCTCTGCCTTTGGCTCAGGTCATGTTCTCAGGGTCCTGGGATCGAGACCCGCGTAGGGTTCCCTGCTCTGCTGGGGGGTCTCCTTCTCCCTCTTCCACTCCCCTTGATTGTGCTCCCTCTCCCATTGTGTCTCTCTGTCAGATAAATTTTAAAAATCTTTTAAAAAGTAATAAACAAAAACAAACAAACAAAACAAAAACAAACAAACAAAAAAAAAAGAAACTCTCCTAAAGAGGGAAAATACCCATCCTCTTGGAGCTTCAACTTCTGGATTCCCAATCTGGGCTATTACTGCTACTGCTTCATTTTTTTCACCAGATGGAGTTAAGACTTCTCTCAATATTTCTGGCTTAGAAGAAATAAATTCCAACTTATATTTGAGTGTCATTGGATGCTCAGTGGTGATGGAGGTGATATGCAACAATTCTCTCCCCTTGAACCTTTAAGTAACTGTAAAGTTTGGAAATTCTTCAAGTTAAATTATTCACATGTTTTCTTACCTTCAATAAAAATAGAAGTCTACCAAAAAGCATCCATTTTTCCCCAGAGCGCATGGTGTGCTTAATGGTGTGCCTAATATAGCGCAAGGCTATATTCCATGAATAAGAAAGAAGAACTCAAAGAGGAAAAAAAAAATCTAGAAAACTTTACCATCACACTGGAGGGACAAACCAGGCTGATAAGTTTAAGATAATCAGAGAACAATATCAAGCTCATGTGGAAAAAAGTGCCTGTGGGGTGGACCTTCAAGATGCAGAAGAGCCTTACTCAGAGCCTCAAGAAGGTGAATTTTCTGGTACAGATACCCAAAACATGTAGGTACAAGATGCCTTTGAAGTTAAATTAATGGCTAAGTAAGGAACGGCATAGGGCTGTAAACCAGGAGGACACCTCAGCTACAGTAGACCATACACAAGAGGAACATATCACCACCACAATACACCATTGGGGTGAGTTTTTAGTAAGAGTAAGTCTAACTGTCCCTTATTTTGTGATTTACCTGATGAAAATCTACTTAATGTTCCAATTTGGAAGAGTAGTACATCCATTTTCTCATAGGCCATAAAATATAACAGAAAATGAGAATATCATTTGTATTTGCTTTTGAGCTATAACCATTGACAATGGAATAAAATAAATAGGACGGGACCAGAAAGGGGAGGTAACCGTGGGATGTTCATGGCATAAAAGGGACAACAGCGGGAACTTGTGGGGAAGCTGGGAAGTGTGTGCCTGGCCAGACGCACTCAGATTCAGGGCTTTAAAAAACACTGTGCTGGCCCTGTCAAACATCATCAGCAGGACCTGCCAGAGGACCCTCTGGCAGCCCTCTGACACTTTCAGGCCAGATGGGCAGGGCAAATTAGATTACAACCAAAGTACCAGGGTGCCTGGGTGGCTCACTCAGTTAAGCACCCCACTCTTGTTTTCCGCTCAGGTCATGATCCTGTGGTTGTGGGATCGAGCCCTGTGTTGGGCTCTGTGCTCAGTGCAGTGTCTACTTCAGATTCTCTTTCCCTCTCCTTCTCACCTTGCTCTCTCTCTTTCTCAAATAAATAAATAAAATCTTAAAAAAAAAAAAAAAGGCAAGTTGTGGAGATGTAATGTACAACATGGGGACTGTAGTAAATATTATACTATAATTTTGAAAGTTGCTAAGAAATTCTCATCACAAGGATAAAAAAAAAGTGTAACTTGTGGGGACAGGTGGTAAATGGGCTATGTGATGATCCTTTTGCAATGTACACAAATGTTGAATTAGTATGCTGTATACCTGAAATTAATATAATGTTGTATCCTCAGTTATATTTTAATTTTTTTTTACAAGCGCCAAGTGTAAAACAAGAAAAGCTGATTACTTTTTAGCAAGAAAAATCTCTGTGTCAAAAGACTAGGCAGGAGGTCCAGAACTTGGAGGATGCTGGAAACAAGTGACTGGGCAGAGAAAACAGAAGAGCACAGGACAGTACCAAGAGCCAGACCTGGTCAGAATTCAACCTCAGGACATAGAGAATCTGAGGCCACATATGAATATAGACAAGTGGTGGGGGCAAGGTAGGGCAAGACTAATGGCCCATGCCCATAGTTTCCTTGGGGCTTCCCACCAGGATTTCCATTAGATACGTTGAAAAGGTTCCAAGTGGCTCAATTTTTTTATTTTCCTTTTAAAACAAATACTTTCTATTATGAATTTGCATGCTGATTTTCATTTTCTTTGATTTTGATCAAAATTATACATGTGCTTAGTTCAGTGTCAAATCATCTACAAGACTTGTCAAGAAAACAACAGTAAGAGCCCCACCCCATCTCTTGTTCCCCAAAGACAAGCACTTTCAAATCTTTCGGGATCTGAGGCCAATATGGCTGTCACATCTGTCACTCACTGATCACTAGGGTGGATTCATCTGATCAGGCTAGCTAAGCAGGTGTCTCCTTCCTCCCTTACCCCTCCATGTGCATCCATCCGAAAGCTGCATGCCCCAAGGAAACGGATGACCCATCCCCAATAGAGGAAGACCATTCTTCATCACAGGTGTACAAGTAACTGCACTCCCCTGCTAGAACCTCCAGACAAGCTCTCAAATCTTTAGCTAATTGTTTTTGTATTTACATCCATATCTGCAATTAACTTACGCGTATTGCTACTTCTGAATTTTTTCATGTTACATATTATCTGTTGATTTTCACCCTTTTGTGAACACACATCTATTTTATTTCCACCATCTTTCCAATTAGTTATCCTATAATTTATGTTTGATCCATATTCAGGAATTACACTATTATATCCATGTAAATGCTATTCACAGATGATTTGTGTGATACAAGGGTTACTCTTCCTTGCTAACACAATAATTTGTTTTCTTTGGTGCTTATTTGCTTTTCCTTTACTTAAATCTCTATTAATTCTTATTAATTCAGTTCTTGGGGGTGCCTGGCTGGCTCAGTCGGTAGAGCATACAACACTTGATCTTGGGATTGTAAATTCAAGCCCCATGTTAGGTATAGAGATTACTTAAAAATAAAATCTTAAAAAAAAAACTTCAATTCTCAGTTCTCCTCTAGTTCAGTAAACCTTCGTATAATACATTCAAATGCAGATGCATGTTCACGCCTGTCCTTTTCTTTTTTGACTTGGTAGGTTTACACCTTTCTAACAACACCTTTTATCTTCCCTTCATCAATGCTACAAGAGGAAGGAGAGCCAGATGTGGGTCTTCACTGTGCCATCCTTGCCTAGCGGGCCAGAACTGCTTAATGCTGCTTAAACCTGTCACCTTTACCAATTGACGGTTTAATGGGAGTTTCGGCCCTTGGGAAACTGAAATACAAGGAGGAAAACATGTGCCAAAAATAGAGATGAGGGATTCATTTTCAATGCCCCTGGTTTTAAATTTCCTAAGCTGCTCTGTTGGATTGATCTGAAGTCTCATGTGAATGAGCCTCTCCCAAAGGAAGAAAGCCACACTCATGGAAGACATCAGCATCTACCTCATGGCCAGCGCTGACTGGATCTTTGCCCTTGGCCACTACTTGCTTTCTGAGGTGACCTTCAGTCAGACTTCCCTGCAGTGTGCCATTCTTCGGGGTACTGCTACAGGTATCTGCTGTCTTCTTTTTCAAGAGATATGGGATGTAATGAATAAAAAGCTAAGGAATGAACTATTTCTCTTCTGGGCATATCCATGGTTTGTTTGTTTGTTTGTTTGTTTTTAAATATTTTATTTATTTATTTATTTGACAGACAGAGATCACAAGTAGGCAGAGAGGCAGGCAGAGAGAGTGGGGGAAGCAGGCTCCCCGCTGAGCAGAGAGCCTGATGCAGGGCTCGATCCCAGGACCCTGAGATCATGACCTGAGCCGAAGGCAGAGGCTTAACCCAATGAGCCACCCAGGCGCCCCTGGGCATATCCATGTTTGTCACTTGATGACACATTTTTGGTGCCCCAACCCAATAGTCCTAAAATGATTACAGCTTCGGGTCCAGTCCTAGGAAATTTGTGAAGTAGGGAGAGTATGCCATAGACAAGATCCCATTCTTCATTTGGTCATGCTCTTCTCACTCATGGCTCACTTCTTGTCCCAAGCTCCTGACCTGTGTGTACTAGGAAAAGCACTGGCTAAAGTAAGACAGGTGTGGCCTCCTTTCTTTACCAGCTGTGTGATGGTAGGAAAGTAATAAAATCTCTCTTAAGCCCATAACTATTTACAAACTGGAGATAACCATAACTATTTACAAACTGGAGAAACTATTACGATACTTATAGTTAATAAATATAGAATTTCCATTTCTAACAATATTAAGGATTTAATAACCTAAAAACTCCCACAATAATATAATTAAAAATATCAAATAAAATATGGATTCCTTTTAAATGCCTGGTTGGGGTCTCAAAAATGGGGAACTCTCCAGAGGTCAGAAATGAAGAGGAAACCAGAAACCAGAGTGAAAGTTGTGTGTGAGCCCACTCTGTGTCAACACAGGGTTGGGAAGGGAGGAGCAATCTCCACTGTCCAGAGGAGCCAAGAGGGAAAACTGCAACTCCCATATAAAGATACAACTTTCCATGATAACTCAGAAAACAATGAATTAGGGAAAAATTCACCTCCGGTACAGGCAGAGAAAGAGAAAGCCATTCTATTTCTGATTGGGTGAAAAAAAAAAAAAAATTCCCTCTGGGAAATCAAAACCTCAGCCAGATCTTGCACAAGCTTGAGGAAATCCTGCTACCCAAGATGAAATCTTGGATCACCTAGAAAACCAATATAGAAACCCTCTAAAGGGACATGATTCTCAAACTCAAGTTCACACATAGCATATGGAGAAAGAAACTACAATCAGTGAGAGTCAGTAGACAAAATAAACAGCAGGATTCAATTCTTAAGAAATTATGACCATTAAAAAAATGCAAAGAGATTAAAAAATAAAATTTTAAATGATTTAAGACAAAAGTAATAAAAAATATAAGAAACAAATAAGATGCACTTTAGAAAAGGAATAGGCAGGGGGCCTCTGGGTGGCAAACTAGGTTAAGCAGCTGCCTTCAGCTCAGGTCATGATCCCAAAGAGAAACTCAAAATGCATAAAAAACCTCAATGTGAGGCAGGAATCTATCAAAATCCTAGAGGAGAATATAGGCAGTAAACTCTTCAACATCAGCCACAGCAACTTCTTTCAAGACATGTCTCCAAAGGCAAAGGAAACAAAAACAAAAATGAACTTTTGGGACTTCATCAAGATCAAAGCTTCTGCACAGCAAAAGAAATGGTCAACAAAACAAAGAGGCAACCGACGGAATGGGAGAAGATATTCACAAATGACACTACAGACAAAGGGCTGATATCCATGACCTGTAAAGAACTCCTCAAACTCAACACTCAAAAAAACAAATAATCACATCAAAAAGTGGGCAGAAGACATGGACATTTCTCCAAAGAAGACATACAAATGGCTAATAGACACATGAGAAAATGTTCATCATCATTAGCCATCAGGGAAATTCAAATCAAAACCATATTGAGATACCACCTTACACCAGTTAGAATGAACAAAATTAACAGACAAGAAACAACAAGTGTTGGAGAGGATATGGAGAAAAGGGAACCCTCTTACACTGTTGGTGGGAATGCAAGTTGGTGCAGTCACTTTGGAAAACAATGTGGAGATTCCTTAAGAAATTAAAAATAGAGCTGCCTTATGGCCCTGGAACTGCACTACTGGATATTTACCCCAAAGACACAGATGTAGTAAAAAGAAGGGCTATAGGTACCCCAATATTCATAGAAGCAATGACCACAATTGCCAAAATGTGCAAAGAGCCAATATGCCTTTCAACAGATGAATGGATAAAGAAGATATGGTCCATATATATATACAATGGAATATTACACCTCCATCAGAAAGTCTCAATACCCAACTTTTGTATCAACATGGACAGGACTGGAGGAGATTATGCTGAATGAAATAAGTCAAGCAGAGAAAGTCAATTATCACATGGTTTCACTTACTTGTGGAGCATAAGGAATAACATGGAAGACATTAGGAGAAGGAAAGGAAAAATGAATTGGGGTAAATTAGAGGGGGTGATGAACCATGAGAGACTGTGGACTCTGAGAAACAAACTGAGGGTTTTGGAAGGGAGGGGGTAGGAGGATGGGTAAACCTGGTGGTGGGTATTAAGGAGAGCACATATTGCATGGAGCACTGGGTGTGGTGCATAAACAATGAAACTTGGAATACTGAAAAGATAAAATTTTTTAAAAAGGTATGTTCAATTAAAAAAAAAAAAATGATCCCAGGGTCCTGGGATGGAACCCCGCATCAGTCTCTCTGCTCAGTTGGGATCCTGCTTCTCCCTCTCCCTCTGCCTTCCACTCCCCCTGCTTGTGCTTTCTGTGTCAAATAAATAAATAAAATATGTTTAAAATGTTTAAAAAAGGAATAGGTAGGCTTAAAAAACAAATAGAGCTTATCATAATAAAAGTATAGCTGATGAAATGAAAACATCTCAGTGGATCTGTTTTAACAAACTATTAGACAAAGCTAAAGGAAGAATTAGTAAACTGAAGATAAACCTAAGGATATGGCACAGAACACAGGGTTTAAAAAGGGATTTAAATACATGGAAAATAAAATGAAAATGTCCAACAAATACCCAACTAGAATTCAAGGAGAAATGGAGACTGGTATTAAAAGAGACATTATTGAGATGCCTGGGTGGCTCAGTAGGTTAAACAACCGGCTACAGCTCAGGGTCCTGGAATTGGGCCCCACATCAGGCTCTCTGCTCAGCAGGGAGTCTGCTTCTGCCTCTCTCTGCTCATGCTCTCTGTTTCTCTCAAATAAAATTTCTTTAAAAATCTTAAAAAAAAAAAAAGAGAGAGAGACATTGTCTGAAAATAAGTTACTTCAGTTACCTAACACGTTTTAGCCCCCCAATAAATAGTAATGATTTTGAATTTGGTTCTTATACTTATGTAACTCTGAAACTCAAGAAACCACAAGAGCTCAGGCATTGCTGTAGGTCTTCTTCAGTCTGCTATGCTTATGGAATATTTATAAAATGAAAAAAACTTAGAGGTAACTTACTTACATAACTTAGTCAATAAACTGAGTGTTGATCCTAGCTCTCTCACTTACTGGCTAAGCATATTGCTTAACTCACTGAGCTTAACTCAATTTCTTCAGCTATAAAATGGAAATAAAACAATCTTCAAAAAAAAAAAAGCGCTGCTCGAGGAGCCGAGAGCCCAGGGCCCCACTCCTCAGTGCGCCCTCAGAGAACAGCGCCCAATTACTCCTGTCTCCCTGGCCTCCGGCCGCGCTCCGAGCTGACCGAGCCTGCGACCGGTTCAAGTTGAAACCATTTTACAGAATGAAAGCCCTATCAAAGGCTGATCGTGAAAGAGCAGAAAATCAGACGATTCCAAAACTAATCGATTTATTGGAACTTGCACAGAAGGAAAAAAAATTTGTGATGTTTGATCTTAATACCCCTCCACGAAAACATCCTCTCAGAGGCACATATATTCGCCGTGTAGTACGCTTAATCCTTGACTCTAAAATTGAGCAACATCTGATTTTTTGGTTGCCAGCTTTCGACAGGGAATATGTCAAACAAGCAGCTCCTGGTTTTCAGCAAGTGGGCAGGTTATATTCCATTGAACGTCTTACAAAAGAAAATATCAGTAGAATAAACGTTGACTACAAGAGGTTGTTCTACAGTGGGTTGAGAGATTATAAAGCAGCTAACATCAAAATCAACTTGTACCTTGTCAATGAACCTTGGCTCTACTCACTGGCCTGGTGCTCCAAGATTCACTCAGTGACCACAGACAACATTCACATCCTGAGTCAGCTAGATCAGCCTTACTTCCTCATGACACCAGGTTACTATATGTTTATGTGGCTTCTCATGGATAGTGTTTCTGCAGTTCTCATTGTTACCGTATTTTATTTTCATTGGTGGAGAGAGCACAAAAAAAGAAATGGTCGATAATGCCAGCATTCACACAGATACTCAGGAACCAGCCCCTGACATAGAAAATGAGTCATGGGATACCCCTGGACCATGGCCACCTTCCAGCCACCCTCAATTACTAAAACTTTCAGATATCCAAACTCCCTCTGTGTCACAGAAGCCCCCAAGCATGAGGCCCTCAGACCAGCACTACCCCTCCAAGGAGGATATGAAACCACCAGTGACCCCACAAGGGGAAGGTCAAGCCACCAATGTCCCCCAAGGAGATCTAACTACCAGTGTCCCCCAAGGGGGAGATCAAACCACTGGGGTCCCACAGGGGGAAGATCAAACCACCAGTATCCCCCAGGGGGAAAGTCAAACCACCAGCGTTCCCTAAGAAGAACATCTAACCACCAATGTTCTCCCCCAGGGGCGTCATCCGAAGGACCCCCTCCACTGAATCACATTGACGCCCTGCCACAGAAACCCTGGGATTCACAGTGCCCACCAACGAGGCCTCCATCCTGAAAATCCCAGGAGACCCCCATCGGATTTAACCTCCTGCCAGGAATCCTTTTCTATAGTGCATTCCTTTTCTAGCATGTCCTCCTCCTCCTACAGGATGCCTTTGGAGAAAATTTAGTCATACCTTGCCTTCTCCTCCCTCTTCCTCTTTGTGTGTAAGTGTGGTGATGGTGGGGAGTAGTCAAGAAAGGAGTGCAGAAGGGCCATTGAGGCTCTCAGGACGACCATTCTGGTCTGGTGCCTTCCATAAAGAATGCATCTCAAGGGGGAGGGGAACAAGGGAGTTGTGGTCTTGGAGCTGGAGCTAGTTCTCTGATGTTACAGGGTTTCTCATCCTAACCCTTCATGGTACTCCCTGCTAAAGGAATGGCTTTGTGCACAAGAGCATGGGAATAAAGGCAACCTCTTGGGGGGAAAAAAAAAAAAAAAAGTGCTGCTCTAAAGATCAAAAGTACGAAATGTATATAAATCAGTTAACACAGAGGTTGGCACACAATAAGCATTCAATAAATGAAAGCTAGCAATATTGCTTATTATTAATTTTTACTTCAAATGAAAAATTAGAAGCCCAGAGAAGTTAAATAATTTGTGAGACACATAGTATACTAATAGTTGACCAAGAATTAGAATCCACTGTTCTCAATTCATGTTCTTGTACTTCCTCTGCCATGTTTCACTGCTTCTCAAGTGCAGAAATTAGGGATCTAGAAGCTAGCTGACTTGAAAACAGCTTCATGAGACTTCAGAAGTGTGGCCCACGATGTTTCCATCCTGTCTTAAGATGACATAATATACAGTGTGCAGACACAATAAGCTTTCATGACACAAACAAATGAATAACTGACAAGGAAATACAGGTCTAGGGAAGATACTTCAAGGCATTTCAAATGAGAGGCCAAATCTAATGTCTCAAGGCATATCAAGAGAAGATCAATGGCAGCTCCACTTCTCAGAGTGATGAGGTGTACAGAGGCACCAGTTCCTTGATCTTAGTGACCCAGGCAATAAAATCACTTATGTGTAGCAGGGAGATAGATGCCTTCTCCATGGTATATTGCAAATAGCCTCTGGAGTTCCACTGGTATCAACCAGTACGAACCTCACAGAGATTTAAGTGTTTTGTAGCACCCAAAGAAACCTGAAATTGTCTATTGTCAAAGATAGTTTCTTGCTGGCCCTGAGCGAATCTGCAAATGTGGTGTCAATTGTGCAGTTAAGAGACTCAACAATATGCTACCTATAAGAGAGTCACATCAGCTTTTTTTTTTAACTTTAACTTTAAAGACACACAGAGATTAAAAGTAAAGGAATGAACAAACACATTCTACACATATGGGAAACAAAAAAAGTAGAAATAGTTAAACTTGTATTAAATAAAACAGACTTTAAGATAAAGAATATAGTAAGAGACAAAGAAGGTCATTATATAATGATAAAGGGATCAATCTGACAGGAAAATATAACATTAGTAACATAAGAGCACCAAAATATACAAAACAATTAGCAGACCTCAAGGTAGGAATAGACAGCAATACAATAATAGTAGGGGACTTCAATACTCTACTTTCAACAATGGATAGATCATCTAGATAGAAAAGTAACAGGGAAACATTGGACTTAACTGGAATGTTTGACCATATGGACTTAATAGATATACACAGAACATTCCATCCCAAAACAGCAGAATATACATTTTTTCAAATCCACATGGAACATTCTCCAGGATAGATCATACGTTAGGCCACAAAACAAGTCTTACTAAGTTTAAGAAGATTGAAATCATATTGAACATTTTTTCTGATCACATGGTATGAAACTAGAAATCTATTACAAGAAGAAAACACAAATATGTGGGAACTAAACAATGTACTACTGACTAACAATTGGGTCAGAGAAGGAACCAAAAAAGAAATTTAAAAATATCCTGGAACAAGTGAAAATGGAGATGAAATATACCAAAATTTATGGGATGCAGCAAAGGCAGTGCTAAGAGGGAAGTTCATAGTGATAAACATCTACATTAAGAAATAAGAAAGATCTCAAACAAACAACCTAACTTAATTCTCAAGGACTAGAAAAAGGACAAACAAAGCCCAAAGTCAGTAGAGGAAAAAAATAACAAAGATCATAGCATATATAAATGAAATTAGAACTAAAAGACAATAGAAAAGGTACTTGGCATCACTAATCATGTATAAATCAAAACCACAAGATATCACCTCACAATTGTTACATGGTTATTATCACAAAGATAAGAGGTAACAAGGGTTGGCAAGGATGCAGAGAAAAGGGGAACACTGTTAGTGGAAATGTAAATTGGTGTGGCCACTATGGGAAAAAAATATGGTGGTTTCTCAAAAAATTAAAAAGAGAACTACCATATGATCCAGAAACCTCACTTCTGGTTACGTATCCAAGGGAAATGAAAACAGGATATCAAAGAGCTGTCTTCACTCCCATGTTCACTGCAGCATTATTCATAATAGCTAAGATATGGAACAGCCTATGTGTCCATCAGTTGATGGGTGTACAGATAAAAAAGATATGCTATCTACACACAACAGAATGTTATTCAGCGCCATGAGAAAAAAATGAAACCCTACCATTAGCAACAACATGGGTGTACCTTGAGAGCATTATGCCAAGTAAATAAGCAAAACGGAGAAAGACAAATACTGCATGGTATTGCATATATGTGGAATTTTAAAAAAAAGTCAAAGCCATAGAAATAGAGAATAGGAAAGTGGTTGCCAGGGTTTGGAGGTAGGGGAAATAAAGAGAGTTTGGTAAAAGGACACAAACTTTGAGCTACAAAATGAATAAGGTCTGAGGAGCTAATGTAAAACATGGTTGATAACACTATATTGTATAACTGAAATTCACTAAAAGAGTACAGCTTAAATATTCTCACACACAAAAAAAGATAAATATGTGAAGTGATGGATGTGTTCACTAACTAGATGGGGGAAATAGTTTCATAATGTATATGTATATTGAATCACCATGGCATATACTTTAAGTATCTTACAATTCTTTATTTCAAGTATATGTCAATAAAGTTAAATTAAAATTAAAATTAAATAATACTAAAATGTGCTATGGAACTCCCATTGCTGATGAAGATAAAGTACAAGGACCAGGTTAACCCTCCCACCAGAAAAACAAAAAACTAGACAAAATGCATGGATAAGAGTTTTCACAAATTAAACATCAGACAGCACAAGTCAGTGATTCCTGAGAGAGGTACATGAGGTGAGTACTTTGCTCTAGTTTACTGACAAGAGTTTTCCAGGCCACAGTAAACTGATGTGGAATGCAGGTGGAACCATGCAATCTCCCTGAGCTAAGGAAATGGAGCTATTAGTCTGGGAAAACCAAGGCAGTTAGAACTTGCAAAGCAAAGTAATGGGATGGAGAAGGTTGAACAGAAGGAAATCTCTGGACACTTCTTCATTCAGCTAAGTTCTGATAAGGACATACATGTGAGGAGACTAAGGATGGGTAAGGAAATACATATCCAAAAGGAGTAGAGAGAACAGTTCCTGGAGTTTATGCAAAATCATAAATCATTCATGTTCCTATTAGCCAGAATGGAAAACCTCATAAGTCATGAATTATCAGGTGGGGCATTTTCTCAGCAGTGGGCAGAAGTTAAACCTAGAGTGAAGGATGGCTCTGGTCATACCTTAAAAAGTTTTAAAGCAAGCCCTAAAAGCATCAAAATATTTCTATATAATTGTTTCACATCCAGAATGAATCACAAGAATATTTATAGAAATACAAATATAACAATCATCCCACTGAATAAAATTTACAATGTCTGATATCTAATCAAAAATCACCAGGCATGCAAAGAACCCATAATTAGAAGAGAAAACAATCAGTTGAAACACACTTGAAGTGATAGAATTAATAGACATTAAAACAGTGTCTTAACTCTATTCTTTATGTTCAAGAAGCTAAAAGAAAGATGAGTATACTAAATAGCAACATGGGAGATTTTTTTTTAAAAGATCCAAATCAAATCTCTAGAAGTGAAAATATGAGAAAAGAAGACTATCAACCTAGGATTCTATAGCAAACAAAAAGAAGTTTCAAAAATGAGGAAAAATAGTCTTCTTGAGACATACAAAAGCTGAAATGAGTCATCACCAGCAAATCTGCACTATAAAAAATTTTAATTTTAAGTCCTTCAAGCAAAAAAGAAAATGATATAAGATAGAAATCTGCACCTACACACACACACACAAATAAAATCAAGAACACCAAATGATATGTGGGTAATTCAAGACATTTTTTCTCATTTTTCTCATTTTTAACATATCTTTAAAAAATACTTGACTGTTTAAAACAAAAATAATGATAAAGCACTGTGGAGTCAATGACAAAAGCAAAATGTATGATGACAGCACAAAGGCCAGAAAAGGAGGTTGGACATATACTGTTATAAAGTTCTTATTCTAGGGCGCCTGGGTGGCTCAGTGGGTTAAAGCCTCTGCCTTCGGCTCAGGTTATGATCCCAGGGTCCTGGGATGGAACCTGCCATCAGGCTCCCTGCTGAGCAGAGAGCCTGCTTCCTCCTCTCTCTCTCTCTGCCTGCTTCTCTGCCTACTTGTGATCTCTGCCTGTCAAATAAATAAATAAAATCTTAAAAAATAAAATGAAATAAAAGTTCTTATGCTACACATGGGGTGGTATAATATTACTTAAACACAGACTATGATAAGCTAAAGAGCTATATATCAAAAAAAAACCCACAAAATAATAAACAAAAATTACAGCTCTTAAACAGAATTTTAAAAATCAATTAATCCAAAAGAAGCCATAAAAAGGAGGAGAAAGGGGAACAAAAAACAGATGGGACAAATAGAAAACAAATAGCTGGAGGGCAGATTTAAACACTGCCATACAACTAATCACATTAAATATAAGCATTTTAATTGCCCTCTTTAAAAGGCAGAGATTGAATTAAAAAAAAAAAAAGGCAAGACCCAACTATGTGCTGCCTACAAGAAAGAC